ACAGAAGGAAACAGAAAGAGAAAGTGTGATCATCTGGGGAATCCTTTCTGTTTTGAAAAAAAAAACTGCCCAAAAGAATCTCTTTTTTATGCTAAACTAAATCCTTAAGCAGAAGAAGTTAGTGGCAGAACTGATCTTCATTGTTTTGTTTTGATTAGTATGCTTTTCTTCTTGTAACTATTGAAATGCTCGCAATTTTTTTTCTCTCTCTCCCCTCTGCTTAAAGTGTACGGACCGGTTTTTCTTCTTCAGCTCCTTCCTGCTTTACTTTTCAACTTAAGGACTAAAATCTCCCTCTCTACTCTAACAAAAATCGTCTATTATTTGCTATTAAACTTCATTTAAGAACTTTGTCCCTCCTAAATCTGAGACAACACAAGAAAGTGAAAAAAATACTAATCTTGCTGCTCGAAAACTACAGGCTAGAGCTTTTTTTGAAACCACGCATTTGTTCCTTTTCTCCTTTGATCTCACTGTCTTTGTGCTTCAAAGCTCTGTAACTAAAAGTGATAAGAGCCAAGGACATAAATTTGTTTACCACAGCTGTATCTTGAGAGCCCTATTGGCATTGGGAGAAAGGAAACAAACGGAACCTCTCTCTTGTGAAGATTAAAGCTACAGTGGCAGTAATTTACAATTTGGAACATGGAGCAATTTACAGAAGAGGAAACTTTAATTTTGCAAAAGATTTGGGATGCAATTCAAAAGTTATTGGTAACTTGGAGAATTGACAAGAAGATAGAGTTTACATCAGAAAAAATGAGGGAGATGGAGTTCCAAAAACTGGAGAGAAAAATGAACACAAAGATAAGAAACTAATGATTTGATTTCTGAAATGAAAGTGCTTGAAAGCAAAAAAAATGGGAGTTTGGAGGGGGGAATTCGATGGTCCAGAGCTCTACCCCAAATTTCAAGGCACAAAAGAAGAAAAAAGAGAAAAAATGATGGTTTTAAAGAGAAAAATCTTATCAGAAACAGGATTGACAATCAAAGATAAATCAATTAAAGTAGCAAAAGGGTGCCGAGATTACCTGAGAGATCCAACAGACAACAAGGTGTGGAGAGATGTCCATAAAAACTTTACCAAGGAAATAAATAGAAACTTAACTCCACAAATGGCAAAAGAAATAAGACTACATGCCTTTTGGAAGGACACAAGTTGATATATGAAAATTGATAATAATAATAAAAATAGCTAAGTTTGATGATTAGTAAGTAGGAATTTAGTAATCCTTTAGATTGCTTGCTTAAATAAATAGTTTATAATGGTAACAAGGTATATTTCTATGTTGGCTGGAGGTGAGGAAGCTGGATATAAGTAATAAATGATTTTGTTAACAAATATTAATGGTAATAATAATAATGAAATGATAAGAGTTATAGTTAACGACATATATATGTACTGGTTTAATATAAGGAATTTGGATATAAATTGCAAACAATGATTTTGGGAAAAAAGGTTTAGAAATTTAATTAATTAATTCTTACTTTGAATATGTTATAAAGGTGTAATGTTATTGGATATATGAAAGTAGATATCAAAAAAATTAATTAAGTTTTATAATTAGTAAGTAGTAATTTAGTAACTTATACATTGTTATGTTAAATAAATAATTGATAAGGGCAATAAGGTATACATATATGTTGGTCTGATGAGAAGAAAATAGATACAACAGTAAAGGATTTTTTGTTAACCAATATTAATTATAACAACTAACAATGGAATGATAAGGATAAGGGATACAGTTAATGATATATATATATGTACTACCATAACAAAAGGAACCTGGACACAAATTGTAAACAGTGATTTGCGGGGGGAGGGCTTAGAAATTTTGTCAGCTAATTTTTGTTTAGAATATGTTATAAAGGTTTAAGGCTATTGGATGACTCTGTAATAATTAATGAAATGCCATTAGGTGGTTGGGTTTTTTAACTATGGATTATTCTAGGCAAAAGGACACTAAAACAATTTCAGTCGAACGAGAACTATGATATATTGAAAGTAAGACTCATTAAGAACTTTGACACTTGATATGAATGTAAGTAATGACTGTGGAAGAGATGCACGAAAGCTAATTATAACCAATTGACACACTTTCTACAAGATGTAATGTAAGATGATTATTTTTTGTGTGTGTTGTTTGTTTAATAAAAATAAAAAAATTGTAAAAAAAATGACCGTATTTCCTCCACTTTCTGGGAGGTCAACAATAAAGTCCATTGCAATCTCCTCCCAGGGTTTTGTGGGTTCAGCCACTTGCTGGAGAAACGCAGGGAGTTTCCCTGGTCTCGTTTTCATGGTGGCACAAATAGCGCAGCTTTTAACACAGTCCTCTATGTCGCATTTCATCCTTGGCCACCAGAATTGTCTCCTAACCAAATGGAGGGTTTTTAAAAATCCAAAGTGCTCCCCTAGTCAAGAGTCATGACTCCATTTTAGTATCATTAGTCTCATACAGCTGGGCACATAAATCTTACTTCCTTTCCAAGCCAGTCCCTCCCTCAAAGTTAAGTCTGCTTGGTTTTCTTTAAACCACATATAGTTTGACAGCGCAGCTTTTAATTGTGCTGTCAACTTGTCTTCGGGGAGGTCAGAACAGCGTCTGGTTTGTGCTCTGGTGATTGCTTGGGCTGCTGGTTGGGCTTCAGAGATCATGGCATGTACTATAGGTTTTTTCCCCCTGAAAAGTACTTTAGTTTGAAGTTAAAGCACTTAAAATACTGAGCCCAAACAACTTGTTTGGGGGAAAATTGTCAATGGGTCTTCAGCGTTTCGAGGTTTTTATGATCAGTCCACACTTCGAAAGGCTCCTTAGACCCTCTAGAAAATGTCTCCAAGATAAGAGAGCCCATCGCACCGCAAAAGCCTCTTTCACCCAGACTGCCCATCTGTGTTCAGTGTCTGTTAACTTTCTAGACACATAAGCACAAGGCATTAATTTGTTTTGAGATGACTTTTGGAGTAGAACAGCTGCTACAGCCACGTCACTAGCATTGGCTTGGACTGTAAAGTGTTTATTTGGATAAGGATGCTGGAGGATTGGCTCTGCTGCAAACAGGCACTTTAAATGTTCAAATGATGTTGGTAGTCCATTGTCTAACTGAGAGGTTGGCTAGGTTTTGGCTTGGTTGGAGACAGGCCAGTTTTAAGTAACTCAGTTAAAGGGAGTGCTACCTTCCTTTAACTGAGGGATGAATTGTCTATAAAAATTTGCAAAACCCAGGAAGCTTTGAAGTTGCTTACACGTTTGTGGGGGTTGCCAATCTAGCACAGCCTTCACCTTTCCAGGATCCATTTCGATCCCTTGATTAGACACTCAGTAGCCCAGGTAGTCTAAAGATTCCTTATGGAATTTGCATTTTGACAGCTTAGCGTAGAGTTTGGCAGCTAAAAGTTTCTTCAGCACTTGTCTGAGTAGCTTGACATGCTCTTCCAAAGTTTCACTGAATATGAGAATGTCATTCAAATAAACCAGGACCTCCTTATACAGATGTTCATATAGTACCTCATTGATCAGTTGCATAAATACTGCGGGGACCCATTAAAGTCCAAAAGGCATGACTTGGAATTGGAAACTGCCCAGCAGACAGTTAAATGCCGTTTTCCATTCGTCTCCCTCCTTTATGCGGACTCTGTAATAGGCTTCCCTTAGATCTAGCTTCATGAAAATCTTGCCTTTTGACAGGTGATTCAGCAAATCCTTCATTATGGGTAGGGGCAGAGGTGGTATTCAGCCAGTTCTGACAGGTGCTGGAGAACTGGTAGTGGAAATTTTGAGTAGTTCAGAGAACTGGCAAAAAGGCTGGCCTCTCTTTCTCATTAGGTTGGCTGGCTTCATTCCTCATTAGGCTTGCCTGGAGGGGTTTTTTGGCCGAAGATTCCTCGCTTTCTTCAGTGGGGAGGGGAACCTTGATGGGTTATCTGGCAAACTAGCTGGTATCTGGGGGCTTTCGTGGAGAACTTCTGCCGCTGGTAGCCATGGCTGGCCATGGTTGTGGGACTGGGGCAGCTGCAGGACATTCAGAAACCCAATGCTGTGCTTGTCTGCAATGATAGCACTTGATGACCCCTGTGGGTTGGTTAGGAGAGGCCTTGGTTGGCTTGCTCAAGGTGCATCTTGCCAAAGTCCTCCATGGGGGCCTCTCCACTTTGGGTTTGCGGTGTGGATGAATCTCTCTATCCAGAGCTATAGACATGGTGTACCAGTTTTGTAGGCACTCTGGCACCACTCGGATGCTACAGGCTTTTCTGACTTCTTAATCAATGGCCTCTTTAACGTAGTGCAAGAGTATTCTGTCAGGCAAATGTCCAAGATTCCCTGCAACTCATCTAAAGTCCTATATGAAGTCCTTTATGGGTTGGTTACAGTGGTGGGTTGCAGGCGGTATGCCCCAGTACGAGTGTACTGGTGCCTGCTGGGAGCACCAGGTACCGTTCCGGTACGGTGCTCCGGNATGATATGTTGAAAGTAAGACTCATCAAGAACTTTGATATTCAATATGAATGTAAGTAATGACTTTGGAAGAGATGCACGAAAGCTAATTGTAACACTTTCTACAAGATGTAATGTAAGATCATTATTTTTGTGTGTGTTGTTTGTTTAGTAAAAAAAATTGTTTTAAAAAAATAAATGAAACCGGCTTTATTGTTGTTAAATTAGCACAAAACCCCTGGGAATTGGACAGCATATACAGTACATTTAATGAATTATTATAAAGTTATGATTAATGTAAAATGTCCTCAGTGGAAGACTTTTTTGAGATTCTTTTTTTAAAAGTTTTTTATTTATTTATGTTACATAATAAAAATTCTTTTGTGAACAGAGCGTTGTCCAAAGTCCTCCTTTAACATTCCCTTCAAAAGACATCATTCATTTTACATTATATTTCCATGATTTCCAATTTTAGCCGTATTACTTCCCTTCTCCTATTTTCCAATTTCTAGTTTTTAACATGTACAAACAATATAATTTTTCTTTCTCTTTAAAAATAAACAATTCATCATTTCTTTTCCATCTATTTTCCATTAACAATATGAATATTCCAAGTTTCAAATTTCAAGTTTTATATAATCAACATAACTATTTAACAGCTTTAAGGTTCTTAATATAATTACCACACATCCTAATTAAAACATATTTTTACCTTGTTGACAATTTCTGAAATTTTTGAGATTCTGAATGACTAACCTACGGTGTTTTGCATTTGCAGATGGGCCTTGACAGCAAAGATTTCCCCTAGTGCTACGTTGGATTATTTCTTTGAAATTCCTGGAAATGATGAGAGTTCAACTCAGGAGCGATGCGATCTGCACTCTTTGCCTGGGGGTAGCTCTTTTCACCATGCTCTATTCCCAACTGGGCCACACATCGCACAGAGAGGAAAAAGCAGGAGGCCAGAAAAAGACCTCAACCGCAACTCACAGGAATTTGCGCCTTCCCGTTTTCCAGAAAGAGTCAAACGTCGAGAGTCACGTGTTGCAGCCTAGAATTATCTCGCCTATGAAAGATGCCATGTTGGAAATCGAGGAAGACGAAGTCACACAACCGGCCCTCCTGACTCATTCCAACTTTGATTTCAGGCTTTACCTAAGGAACAAGGACAATAGGAAATTCAACCTTCTTATTAATCAGCCGAAGAAGTGCACGAAAAGCTCAGAGCGGCCTTTTTTGCTCGTTGCCATAAAATCGCTGGTTGAGGAGTTCGACCGCCGTGAAATCGTGCGCAAAACTTGGGGGAGGGAAGGCCTGGTGAACGGAATGCAGGTCCAAAGAGTTTTCCTCCTAGGAGTTCCCAAGAACAAGACGACGTTGCCAACTTGGGAGATTCTGGTCCGTCAAGAGAGCCAACTATACCGGGACATTTTGCTGTGGGACTTTCTGGATACTTTCTTCAACTTGACCTTGAAAGAGATCCATTTCCTAAGCTGGGCAGATGAATTTTGTTCCAGGACCAAGTTCATATTCAAAGGTGATGCTGATGTTTTCGTCAACATGGAGAACATTGTCAACTTCCTGGAAAGCTGCAATCCTTCCGAGGACCTCTTCGTCGGGGACATCATCTACAATGCCCAACCGATCCGAATCCGGAAAAGCAAGTACTATATTCCAGAAACGATGTATGGGCTAGGCATGTACCCAGCCTATGCCGGGGGAGGTGGGTTCTTGTTGTCCATTAGCACCTTGAAGAAACTTGCTCAAGCTTGCACTCAAGTGGAACTCTTCCCCATCGATGACGTCTTCTTGGGCATGTGCTTGCAACGGATCAACCTGAAGCCCGTCTTGCATGAAGGGTTCAAGACGTTTGGAATACCCCAACCTTCTGCAGCTCCCAATCTGCAGACTTTTGATCCTTGTTTCTATAAAGACCTGATGGTCGTCCATGGTCTGAAGATAGCTGAAATCTGGCTAATGTGGAATCTCCTCCACAACCCACGTCTCTCTTGCACCCAGAACAAGCAAATAAGGAAAGCTTTCCGATGGAAGAAGACTAAAGACATGGTCAAAAATTATGGTGCCTAAGGGTTGGTGGACACCATGACTGGGTTTCTACAAGGATGTTGAACCATTCATTTTTTTCGGAGTCCACTCAGTACACTCAAGCAGAAACCATGTGCTAACCCACAAACCAATAAACCAGTGGTGGGATTCAGCCGGTCCGCAACTATTCGGGAGAACCGGTTGTTAACTTCCTAAACAGTTCAGAGAACTGGCTGTTGGAAGAAATCTCCTTTTGTTTTTTCCCACTTTACAGGGCTAATCCTGTAAGGAAGGCAGGAAGGAAACATTCTTGTGTTGTTTCTAGCCTCATCTTTATTGCTCTGCTTATAGAAACTGCCTCTCCGGTTAACCCTTATGACATTGTAACAACTAAGGCAAAGCGCCCATTGATGTGAGTGACGTTGAGTTAGCCATGGCCACCCAGTCACATGACCACCGAGCCACTCCTACCTAGTTGGTCATTAGGGCAGAGAACCGGTTGTTGAATTATTTGAATCCCACCACTGCAATAAACCAAGGATAACTCTAATCAAGCATATCATGTTGTGCGAAGGCAAATGTTAGGCCTTCAACTGACCATTGAAGGTCTTCTTGAGGGCTACGTGGCATAGCTTTTGTAGGGGGAGATATTTAAACACAACCATCTAAGTTCATCTTTTATAGCCAATGTCTGACATGAAGTCACCTGGTAATTGGAACTCCCCTAAGCGATTCTTCCCCAACTAGTTTTCTAAATAGGAAGTCCCTTTGGTGACACTTCTAAAGGCATGACCATCGTAAGGAAATTCCCAGAATTGGATATCCAGGAAATGCCCGCGTTTGATGTCGCTTCTTTACCCAACACACTAGCTCAGTGTTTCTCAACCTTGGCCACTTGAAGATGTCCGGACTTCAACTCCCAGAATTCCCCAGCCAGCGAATGCGGAGTTGAAGTCCGGACATCTTCAAGTGGCCAAGGTTGAGAAACACTGCACTAGCTGGTTTGTTTTCAATGGGCCTGCTGCTGCTGTAACAAGTAGTCCTAGACATGTGGCCACAATTAAGCCCAACGTTTGTGTTGCTAAGTGAGATGCTGTATTTTTCGGACTATAAGCCGCACCGGAGTATAAGACGCACCAAAATTTTGAAGAGGTAAATTTAACAAATAAAAGTTATTGTCCTATCCAGCTCCCAGGAGCACTTTGCAGTCCTCCCAAACCCTCTGGTGTCCGTTTTTCGCGAAAAATGGGATGCGCTGGGCGGGCTTTTGGGAAACCAAAATGGCGGTATTCAGTGTATAAGATGCACCCAGATTTTCACCCTCTTTTTTGGGGGGAAAAGGAGCGTCTTGTACTCCGAAAAATATGGTAGTTTAAGTGATTTTTGCCCCATTTTACATCCTTTCTCTCCACGGCTGTTAAGTGAACCACTGCAATTGTGATATTAGCACCATGGCTGTTAAGAGAATCTGGCTTTCTCATTGGCTTCGCTTGCCAGAGGGTCACACAAGGTGATCACATGACCCCGGGACACTGCAACTGTCAGAAATGTGAGTCACTTGTCAAGCATCTGAAATTGGATCATGGGTCCACGGGGATTCTGCAATGTTCGTGTGAAAAATGGTTATAGGCTTATGTTTTCAATGCCATTATAACTTTGAACAGCCATTAAATGAACTGTTGTAAGTCAAGGATTATCTGTAGTACTTCATCGTGTCCAATTTATTTGATAAGCTTGCAATGCTGTGCTTGGGAAAAAGACCCAGTGTTATACAGGCCTCTTTTGCCAATGGGAGGGAGAGGGAGTGAGTGTGGGAAGGAAGGAAGGAAGGAAGGAAAACTTTTTCCTTCCTGAATTTGTTGCTGAAGATGGGAGCTTTTTAAAATGATCTAATACTGTTCAAATTCATTGTTTCTGTGTTCATGAGTCAGAAAAAAAAACTTTGGGAAAATTAAATTACAGTGGGAGAAATCATTGTGCTCTATTTATTTTCTAGATCCCTCTGTTCAGATTCCTTTAAGGAATATGATCTTTGCTTTGACTTGCACGCACCAAAAATAGCAATAGCAATAGCAGTAGACTTATATACCGCTTCATAGGGCTTTCAGCCCTCTCTAAGCAGTTTACAGAGTCAGCATATTGCCCCCAACAACAATCCGTGTCCTCATTTTACCCACCTTGGAAGGATGGAAGGCTGAGTCAACCCTGAGCCGGTGAGATTTGAACCACTGAACTGCTGATCTAGCAGTCAGCTGAAGTAACCTGCAGTGCTGCATTTAACCACTGCGCCACCTCGGGGGGAAAACGTTTTAAAAAAAGTTTCCAAGGTAGCCTTAGGGCCTGGGAAACTGATTTCACCAGTGTTTGGGGGGGAAAGAGATCAGAAAGTTCAAATCAACATTTGCAAGTCACATCACATCATCTGATTATTTTACCACAGGGGGGGAATCTGTTTCCAATTAAGAAAGAACAGACAAGATTATTATTATGTTGTGCTGATAGAAAGCATTCGTCCAGAAAAATAAATAATAGTGAGAGAAAAACATTTTCCTATTTTCATGGTTAGCTTAACCAATATTGTACTTCAGGTGGGGGGAAAATGGCAGTATGTGCAAGATAACAATAATTTTATAATCTTTTACGACTGTAAATATTTATATCCAGTTCACACAACCTGGTTGTTATGAATCTGTGCACCAAAACAAACAAGCCATAATTAGGATTCCGTGCACGGTGGTAACTTAGGAAGATATGGTGAGAATACAGAATCATAGAGCTGGAAGAGACCTTGGAGGTGTGCGTGCATGCAAGAGAGAGAGAGAGACAGAGGTAGAGAGAGAGAAACAGAAAGACACACACACAGACACAGAGAGTGAGACAGACAGAGAGACAGAAAGAGAGAGACACAAAGACACACACACACACACAGGGAGACAAGTGAGACACAGAGAGACAGAAGAGAGACAGACAGAAAGAGACAGAGAGAGAGGGACAAGTGAGACACAGAGAGACAGAAAGAGACAGACAGACAGACAGAAAGAGAGACACACACAGAGAGACAGAGAGAGACAGAGACAGAGAGAGACAGTGAGACACAAAGACAAAATGAGAGACAGAGAGAGAGAGAAAGAAAGAAAGAAAGAAGAAAGAAAGAGGGAGACACACACACACAGAGACAGACAGACACTGTCAGAGATTGGAATATATTGGAATTGTGATTTACTTGGTAGGCTAAATGAAAAGTTGTAAATCAAGGACTACCTGTAGAGCACACACACCAGCTCACAGAATGTATTAAAGAAATCCTGGCCTTAAAGAAACATAACTTTGAGCACTGCACAAGGATTACTCAGCCAAAATCTCTTACAACCTAATCTACTTTACAAGATAACTCTGAAAAGGTTTCCCCACCTTCTGCAGGATCGAGGCGGGAAGATAAATCCAAGACTGACTCATTTATTGCAAAGTACATATATATATACTCAGCCACCGTAGCTAAACCAAGCAACTGAGTCTTGTTTATTTGTCCTGTTAAGGTACATGCTAGATGTTAACGCATTTCAGAGAATTTACAGGAGAACACAAATTCATGGGATACTAAAAGAAAAGGAAATGTCTCAGCAAGCAACTGTCCAAGGAAAAAAACAGGATTTGCAGAAACATTTAAGAATAAAGGTACATCCTAAACCATTTCTTCCCGTTAGCCCAATGGGGCTTCCTTGATTCATTTATTTATTTATTAGTCCAACAGTGTATAGAGGACCGAATGACAAAAAAAAGGAGGGACACAAACACACGCGCACACACACACACACAAATTTACAGCAAACTCACACAACATTGATCCTGCTACCGGTCCAGGATTCATTAACTTTTTAACACTCTGAAATTCCCTATTCCTCATTTGCGAATAAATTTATACACGTGCGTTAGCTGTACACAGAATTAAAATTACAAAATGTTTTTTTTTTGTATTTACAAAAAAATCTGTATTTACACACAGTTTTAAAACTCACAAAAATCATCTATAATTTATATCACAAGTTGCTACACCAAAATATTAAAAAATGGGATAAAATTATAAACGTCTCTCTACGCAGCCTTTTTGTTTTTTAAATTCTCTCCGCTATTGTAAAAAGGGTTACGATCGAAAGAAAAGCGAGACCATTTATTATTTACTTTTTTCTTTTAGATAAAAAGCAGCAAAAGAATCACATGCGTCCCTTAAAATCTTCTTGAAATAACAAGCTTTTAAATAACTTTTCTTTAACTAGAAGTCACTGAATTATTATTTTTTCCCTGCTACAGACGGAGGAGGTGGACCTGCCCAACACATATCTCTATTCCTATCTACTTCTATCTATACACATGTAGAAATGTTGAAACTAGATTAAGGATCTCTTTGGCTAAAATTTTGGCATTAAATTAAAAAATAAAAGAGAGGCAGTCCTCATTCTGCTTGTGCTCCAAGTAAGACAACTCAGAAATTTCTCCTCCGGAATTGGTGCTCTTCGAAAAGTTCTCGGGGAAAATCCCTTAAGGCGACATGTTTTCCGTTTCATCTCAGCAGGATATATGTGAGAAAAAAAAGGAACCTGTTTCAAGCCATCCCAATTTCCCCGCTAACCTCGTTTACGGGACAAGGAAGAGGGATTTCAAGACGTCCTAAATCAGATCCATGTCACACTGCGGACATTTAAGATAGCTACATCATTCCTCTGAGAATGCACATTAGTTATCTGTTTTGCATTAAAAGGGAGGAAAAAAACAACGACATATCCAAACTCTTCCTAAAAGCATCATGATTCGTAGGAATCATCTAACTCGAGTTTTTGTTCCTCCTCCCCTCCAATCCCGGAAGAAACTGGGGTTTTAGTTCACCGAATGTGGCAGGAGACAAAATTGTTTCATTGCATCAAGTAAACGTTAGTGCAGAAAAATTGCATCGGATTTTCCCCTCCACTGTTTTAGGTGTGGCAAAACAAAAACAAAAAAACCCCACTTACCCCAGCCTCCACTCACACCCAGCACTCAGTAAAATTCAAAAGGTCTTATCAAGTAATTAAAGTGTATGTAGTGCAAATATATATATATATATGTACATATATATGACCACCGAGTCTTTAGGTTGCTTTGCTCCTTTGTCTCCAACATCGGATGTCTGAAATTATGGACATGTTGAGCCTGGGAGGGGGGCGATATCCCAAGCTACCGAAAAACTCATGTACTTAATTTTATATATACACCTATACATGAGCTCTGTGTGAGTCTTTATCCATCTATATGCTTGTCTTATTCCTTTTTTTTCCCTTCCAGAAGCAAAATAAAACACAGAAACGCGACTCTCAAAACGTGGGACGCAAACACAGATGAGAAAGAAAGGGGAAAAATATGTATATATATAGAGAGAGACCTGCTTTCAGATGCCCAAGGATAAGACAATTGTGCTTCTAAAATATGCAGTTCCTTGCTGAGCTCTTTTTAAAAGCTCATCTCCCCTGTCCAGCTCTTAAAAGCCAAACTCTTTGCATTTATACTGTATCTTCCAAGGGCTAAGCAAGAAAAGAGGATTAATGGTAGTGCCAGCTAGTTGTGTGTGTGTGTGTGTTGCCTCTGCCACTGTCTCCAAGTCCTGCAAGGTTCAGCTTCAGAGGATTTTCAGCTTGTGCCATCCACAGATGGCGAGGGCCAAGCTTTCTTGTTCTCTCTTTCTCTCTCTCTCTCTCTCCCATAAACACGCACACTCACACACATTCTCCATCGTTTCGTGCTTTTCCGTATGATAAGCGGGCAGCAACTCAAGGCACGCTGAGCGAATTGTGTAGCATTAGGTTCAATGGGTATTGCTCACTGGGGGAGGTCCAAGATCTTGGTCTGGATGGTGGGCCGGGCCGGGCCGTAGAGCGTGACGGACGCAATGTGGTTATTCTGCATCACCTGCGAATAAGAGACGGCCAACAGATTCAATATGGCAGCCAAGGGGATTGGGAGCTAGAGAATGCACTGTCAATTCATAAAGTTGCCATGGTGAGGAAAGGGGGGGGGAGCGCATTCCACCCATACCTTTGGCTAGAGGGTGGATCTCAGATTACTACAGCAGGTTTGTGAGGGGTGCACCTCGTTGGAGAATGTGATTTATGACACAGACTAAGGGGAGGGAGGAAACGGGCAAAGTTCAACATAATTCAAATGAGGCTTAGATCTGACTGCATTAGGGTATTGCCGAAATGGTGCTCCGTAATAAATGACTGGTTTTCTTTTGAAACTTGGCTCGAGGCTCATGAATCAATTAGGGCATCTTTTGGAAACCTGACACGCATCATCTTAAGGTCAGCCCAGAAGGCCCAGAGAAGGGCTGGCTCAGCCCATCCCACGGAAAGGGACGTCAGTCCTGTGAGGTCGTCCAGACAGGAAGTATGCCTGGTCAAACTACAAACAAGCCTCATCTAAAGTTCATTCGTTCGGGGACTGTTTGAAGTTTTGATGGGCTGAATAAGTGTGTTCTGACCCAGCTCCCCAAACACGACAACCACTCTGAGATTAAATCAACAATTCCTTTATTAGGAATGTCAGCCCATAGATTTCCACTGCTCTCCTCTCCTTTGCCTTCCACACATTAGGCACTGGACCCACCTATTCCTCCTCTTCCTCATCAGCCACCTCCAGATCTCTGTCTCTGACAGCTCCATTCCCTCTTCCCACTCGGAGCTCTCAGGTTTCCCTGATGCTAACCCTCACTCCCACGCCTCCTCCTTCGATTTGGCTGCTGGAGGAGCCAGCAGCCGACGGGCCACAACAAAGTGGCACTTATATCAGATCCTTAAGTTCTGGCTGTCCCAGCATCTCTGAGGCCACATGATTGCAATCTGGCCGCTTGACCAGCTCATAATGGTTCCGGAGTCCCCATGGTCATGTGAACGTTGCAATAAAGGAGAATATTTGTAGCTCAGGGTTGGAATGATGTGTCTTTGGTGCTCTCTGAGCTTGCTTGTTTTCTTGTGAATGTTCTCTGCAGCCTTCCCTGCCATCTTCTCAGAGGCAACTCAAAAGGAAAGATGGCAAGGGAGGTTGGAGATTGATCTGCTAAATTGCTCCAGATCTTCACCCATCGGCAGTAGCTACCCTTGGTCCCTCCACACTCAAGCTGCCCCTCTTCAGCCACCCCACCCCCCACCCTCTCCCACCCAAAAGCAGACATTCACCTGCCTGCTGGGCTGCTGAGAAGCTTGTGAGAAGCTGGCAGGGAAGGCTGCAAATGAATGCTCATATGACCTGGGACTTTCTCAATGACCCCCAATCCTTGTTTAACGATGGCAACAGCGAATGCCATCACTTAGCAATGGAAATCACCCATTACCATTGTTAACCAAAGACTACCTGTAATTCTACTTTATTGCAACGTTATATTAACAAACTCTTGCAAGTAAGAGAGAGTTAAGTTTCTCCCCTGTTGCCTTTGCAGAGCAGAAAACTGGGGAGGGTCCTTCCTGAGATATTTATCCACTCATGTTACTTCTTTGTGTTTAGCTGCCTCTTATCATTCACACATACCATCAAGTCATCATAAAGCAACTTTAGCCCTTGGGGGGGCAGGGGGGGGGATAAGAAAGCAAAATATTTCAAGACAATAATAGCATATTGAATGCTTGTAATGATTGTGGAATTGAGAAGCCTCTCTATGGAATAAGCAAGTAGAACAAACCAACACACTTGGAAATATACCCAATATGCCTAGTGGCCCTTCTTACCTCAAATCAATCAATCAATCAATCAATCAATCAATTCTATCTATCCATCCATCCATCCATCCAACCATCCATCCATCGAAGTATATGTATACATGTATGTGTATGTGTGTATATACCGTATTTTTTCAGAGTATAAGATGCACTGCAGTATAAGACCCGCCTAGGTTTTGAAGAGGCAAATTAAAAAAAAGGTTTTGCATTCTGCAAACCTCCCCAAAACAGCCCGTTTTTCACAAAAACGGGCCTGTTTTTTTTTTAAAGGGCACGGATAGCTTTTAGGAAGTTTGTAGAGTGCTCCTGGGGGGGTGTGGGGGAGGGCCAAAAAAGAGCAAAAAATTGCCTGTTTTTTGCAAAAATGGGCATGTTTTTTGCAAAAACGGGCATGTTTTTTGTCAAAAAAATGGCATGCATAGCCTTTAGGAGGCTTATAGAGTGCTCTTGGAGGCTGGGCAAAATTGAGCAAAAAATGGCCTGTTCTTCGCTCATTTCTCCTCTCCCCTGAAGCACTCTGAAAGCTTCCTAGAGGCTCTGCACTGCCATTTTGATGAAGGGGGCGGGATTTAGGGAGGCAAAAAATGCTGTATTCAGTGTATGACACACCTACATTTTCAGCCTCTTTTTTGAGAGAAAAAGGTGTGTCATACACCGAAAAATACGGTATATGTATGTATGTGTACGTGTATATACACATGCACGCACACAGACACAAACATATACACAGACAAATACTGTTGTGGTCTACTGGCGGCCTATGGAGCTGGCAGCAGAGTTGGACAGTGAGGAGGTTGGGGAGGAAGATGGGCCAGTCCTGGAGTCTGGGGAAGGCTTGGATGAGGGCTCTGTGTCAGAGGCAGAGAGGGGCCCAGGGCCATTTGACAGTTATGAG